TGAACGCTACCCTAAAATTTTGTAGGGTAGAGTTCAACTAAACCTTTGGCGTTTCCACCGTACAAGCGCTGACCCCAACCCGACTCTGACCCAATTTGAACCCTCGATGGAAACGTAGTCATTTCTACACATCGCGAGCAGAGCGCCTCAGCGCTCCACGGGTTAACTTATCCACATCCTAAAATCCCTAGACCGCGAACGGTAAACGCAACACTTACAATTAGACGTAACGCTTAATTTATTTCAAAATATTAATTAGTTTATTTATTTTCCTTTTTATGAATCCAAGCGCCCATAGCGCTATTTGAGAATTGGACCTCACCAACAAATCCCTAAATTCGACGTGAAGAGTCGCAACAGAGGAAAGGACCGGGGAATATGGGACAGAACGGGAATGGTTGGCCCCCCTGGCGATTGAAGCGCCAGTGGAAGAAGAGTGGAGAAGTCAAGAGGCGAATGGGAAAGACGCTAAAATGGGCTATTTGAACGGTGTGGGTGAAGCGAGCATAATCACGAATAAGTTTAAAGAAGGTGTAAGCGTAAAGAATGTTGAAGAAGAGGAAGGTATAGTTGTTGGTAGGGAAGATGGAGGGAAAGGAATGAGGATAAGAGAGGTAAGGAGCCTTAAAGATAAAGGAAAATTCAAATTGCAGGGCGGGGGGGAGGGGCGGGGAGTCGAGCACGTGGCGCAAGACGTAGTTTATGAGAAGAGGGAAGAGATGTGGCAAAATACGAAGAAGATTGTACGAACAAGGAATTTGTGGTAGGTTTGTTCCTCAAGAATAATCATGTAAGAAGGAATAAAAAAGCAAACCTAATGAAAATATATAGGTACATACAGGGGACAGGAATTAAAATTGAAAGTATAACAATGACTTTAGTAATTTAGTAATTGGTTTTCGTAAGGCAGAGATGATCTGCAAGAAGAGAGAGGAAGCAAATGATGTAAAGATGCAATAGCAGAGATGAGGCAGTAGGGGCTTTTTTGCCCATAAGAAAGAAATTCCGGACAGAGGTCATAAGGGATTGGATTGGCATGATGGAAGAGTTGAAAAAAGAAGCCATGCCAGGACTGGGCTAATTTGTGCTGGAAAGACTTAGTAAGAAATCAAGAGTGGAAAGAAGGAAGGGGAAATAAGAAGAGGAGGGTGTAAAGGTCTATTACTTACATAAAGAAGGTCAATCTTACGTGTGTTGGAGGTATGAACATATTCAGAAATTTTGTAAGTTGAGGAAATTTATTTGTGGAAATTGTGCAGAAGAGAAATATGGAGACTGCAGGAAAGTACCAAAGTGTGTGAATTGTGGTAGGGAGTATGCGGTTCAAGATAGGGAATGTTAGGTGTATCAAAAAGAGTTTGCAGTAAGAAAAGTAATGGCATATAAGAATGTGGTATCTGAAACGGCACGGTAGAGAGGGCAGCAAAAATAGAGGATTTGAGATGTGACAGCAATGAGGTTGGGGAAAATGATAGCAGGGAGTTTCTGAAATTGATTAAATGAAGATTGATAGAATCAAGGGAGGGGAAAGAGGTGCCGATGTGTGAGAAGGTGTAGAGAATTAGAAAGGGCACGACAGCAGTAAAGGGGATAAAATTATACAACAGAGTGGCAGTGAGGCAAGAGGAGGAAAAAGATGGGAGGAAACAAGAGCGGACAAAACTGCAGAAGATGAAGCAGAGAGGAGGAGGAGAGAATAGAAAATAGAAATAGATTCATGGTGTTAGAGGAAGAAGGAGACAGAAGGGAGAACAGAGGAAGCGACAGGGAAATCATGACACGTAGAAGAGTTCCGTCACCCCACAACTTAGTAGGGGAGAAAGAAAGGCTGAGTATGATGAATGTCAAATTGTGGTCAACAGATGGAGGGAGGAAAGGGAGAGAGGAAAGCAATAAAAGAGGCAAAGAAAATGGAAAGAAATGAGATAGAGGCAATGAAGAAGAAGACGGATGAGGAGTTAAGAGAAGATTTAATAAAATTGATTCAAGAAAGAGAAATTCAGGTGGAGTTCGTGGAGCAAGTTAAAAAGGCTAAATACAGAGCTAGGAAGGAGGTGCAACTAGACCCAGAAGAGGACTAGAACGAAGTAAGGACACTGGAGTATAGAATGTACCAGAAAACAAAGGCGAGAACAGCCAGGAAAATAGGAAGGGAGAAATAGGAGGCAGAAAGGAAGAGGGCTATGCAGGAAAGATTAGAGGAGCTGCATAGGAGACCCACAGGGATGAGGGAGGAGAGGCACAGAATGAGAAGGAAGGAACAAAAAGTTGAAGAGGAAGGAGCTTATGGAGGAGAGATTGAGTAAATCAACGCCAAGGACAGGGTCAAGTATATGAGTACGGAGGAGTGGGAAGGAGCAATCAATGGAAATGGCAAAGAAAGAGGAAGGAAGACGACAAGCAGAAGGAATATCAAGGAAGAAGGTGATAGAGTGAAAGAAAGAAGGATATTGTTTTGGACACTGGTGAAGGGATGTACTCGAAAGAAGGGTTGGTAGAAATTGCACAAAGTTTGTGACACAAAAAACACAG